GTCAATAGCAGCAATATTGCCATCAGTCACACGATAGCCAGCAATTGTACGGGGAATCTTATCAGCTCTAACCAGAGGAGGGTAATAAGGCATCATCTTTACTTTAGGGCTAGAACTCTCAGTGTGTTTTTGGACTATAAAATAGGTTGTATAGTGTGTAGGTGTAACCACACTCCCCTCTTAGTTCCTAGAATTGATTTGCCAAGAAATTCTTGGCACAGCTAGAATACCGTATGAATATCGTTTTCTTGGAATGATTATAAATATTCAATTAAATGCTTACACAATTAAATTACAATACAAGACTATACATTGTGAACAAATGTTAACCATGCAAACTTGGACGAGGCAGCATTACAATTACACAACAATATACATTACTTATCAAAATGTACTTTAGCATATGCAAACTTCATTGATGATTTCTTGGCATTAGTATAAGGATTAGAAGAGAGGCGAGAAGGAGATGCTCCACTCCTATCAGACGATATTGAAGAGGCTCCAGCTCCAGCTCCGTGGGATCGTTGCTGATAATGAGATAAACTGTAATTCATCATTGAGGGTTTACCGTGCCCAGAATAATGCGACTGGGACGCTAAACCTTTCAAGGACTCATCAATCGTCTCCTCAAAATACTTTGCAAGTGGCAAACCAAACACAACACTCTTCTTGATGCGAGCTTTGCAGCGATGGAGGGCAGCTCTGGCTGATTCAAGCTGACCTTCATCGGCTAGTTTAGTAGCTGAGGATATTGCTTCAGCAACGTCATATCTAGTGAGGTGTAGTTCAATGTCCTCTTGATATTCTTTGTCTATAACTGGATCGGATATCTCTTTGCTAACTAGGACTGCTCCAGTAGCTGTAGTGGTCTTTGGTGAGCAGCGGAGGACATCAAAGTAAGTCAGAGAGCAAGAGAGAATTTGTGCCTTTGATTCAATACAACCAGCAGTTGATGAGGCAGCGAGGAGTCTTGTATGTATCGGTATGCATTTCTCTTCTTCACTGTAATAACAAAAACAAATGGTAATATTGACAAAATATTCTAGAATAGGGGTAATAGATAGTAATAATTATAAATTAACAGTGACATAGTGATGTTATAACATCATTTCGCCAAGAACCATCTAAGTATACAGGGTATTTTGCCAAAAATGACTAGAAGAGAATTCTTCATTTTTATAATTTTTTCTGATATATATACATGTTCTTATGTCATGTAGAAAATTTTAATTGATTTAGATAAGATTTGAATTTTTTTACGAATTTTAAAAGTTGCTCCAAAATTGGGTCAAAGTCCCTGTATAGTACAGGGACGTTGGCCAGATTTTGTCAAAAATTGAAAGGAGAAAATTCTTCATTTTATAATTTTTCCTCATACATATACAAGTTCTTATGTTGTGTAGAAAGTTTGAGCTAATTCCGATCAAAATTGAATTTTTACAAATTTTTAAAGTTGCTCCAAAATTGGGTCAAAGTCCCTGTAATAGAGTACAGGGATGTTGGCCAGATTTTGTTAAAAATTGAAAGGAGAGAATTCTTCATTTTTATAATTTTTTCTGATATATATACATGTTCTTATGTCATGTAGAAAATTTTAACTGAATTAGATAAAATTTGAATTTTTTTACGAATTTTTAAAGTTGCTCCAAAATTGGGTCAAAGTCCCTATCATAGTACAGGGACGTTGGCCAGATTTTATCAAAAATTGAAAGGAGAGAATTCTTCATTTTAATAATTTTTCCTCATACATATGAATGTTCTTATGTTGTGTAGAAAGTTTGAGCTAATTCCAATCAAAATTGAATTTTTTTACAAATTTTAAAAGTTGATCCAAAATCTATAGTTGGCCAAATTTGTCAAAAATTGAAATTTTTTTATCAAAAAATTTTTTATACATATACAAACCCTTATGCTGTGTGGAAAGTTTGAACTGATTGCAATCAAAATTAAAATTCATATGCTATTTATTATACTGCTTGTCAAGCATTCTTTTAAGCTCACTTACATGTAGCATGCTTTGTGGGTAAGCCTGGCAAAGAGCATTTTTAATAATAAACTGTTAGAAAACACATCACTATGAACTGATTCTTAATACTTGGATACAATACAATACAAAGCATCCCATACCAGTATATATCAGGTATTGTGATCTTGTATGTCTGCTTTGGACATGATTCGGTCACATAGGATGTCAACGGAGGCTTTACCATTCGACACAACTCATCATTAACAGTGAGTGTCAGCACCAGATTCTAATAACAATAAATTAATATTATCACAATTATTTTATTATTATTATTATTATTGCTGTTACTTGTGCTGCAATGCTGAGTAGTCCTCCAAGACAGTCGCAGAAACTGTCAGGGATGCTGTCTTTATTTTCAACGAAATAAAACAAACCGTTTCCAGCATCAGAGATAGCATGCAATGTATCAGAATCATGATCACTGCCATAGCCTAATGTGAATACACACACTTGACGACCAATCTCATTAACCATTGACCTGAAGAGAGAGAGAGAGAAAGGAAAAGGAAGAAAGAGAGAAGAAACAAAAATAATTCACAGACTATCAGTTAATGTATAATATAAATTGTCTTAGTCTTTATTTCTCTTACTTTGTTGCTTTGGCTAGCGGTTCTCTGTCTTTAATACCAAAGTTAGCTTTACCGTCAGTAAATAATACAATAGATTCAACTAATGTACTCTCACTTAATGGGACATCATATAACAACTAGTTGGGGAAAGAGAGAGAGAGTAGAAAGTGAGAGAGAGAGAGAGAGAAATATATTAAAATAATCTTGTTTACACCTAAAGGTGTGAACAAGGCATTTACAAGGGACATGAAAATAATAGTTTATTTTAAATTTTTTTCATTGCTTCTTAAGTAAATCTCTTATTCAAGTACCTGTAAAGCAGCCAGTAG